GATTTTTGAAACTTTAAATTTGTGACATAATTTTTGAAAATGGAAATCTAAAAACAGGTTTTGGTGTAATTTCCTCTTAAAAAAATAACGTACGGAGCCTAATTTTCCCTTAAAGAATGGGATCCATCTACTTGGCCGAAGTAAGGCGCATGTAAGTTAGTCAAGTGCACCTGTGTACGTGTACGTGTTGGATCAAAGTCTTCATACACCTCCAGCGTACTATAGCACTGCCAATGTCTACATTTTTCCATTCACATATAGCTTTCTTCCACAAAACATTGAGGCCACCCATCCATGGAACAAATAGCTTTAGGATTTTGAGCAATGCTATTTGTACAACCAAATGTTGACACATAGGTTGATATACACTCACAATGAAGGGGTTCACTTTTTTTTTATTTTTATTTTTTAAACATCATGCGGATCCCGCACACATGTGAAAGGTTGTCAACTTCGATTGTCAATCTCTTATGTACAAATAGACTTATTATAGGATTTTTATCCACAAGTACTTTCGTTGCTGATTTGATCATTTAATGTCGGAGAATTCTCACGTACAATTGTTTGCCGGTAAACCTAGGAAGTTTGGAGGCGCTAGATTTTTGCCACTCACGTTATGTGGAGTGCTTAATTTACTAGCTGTTATGAAGTTTGTCAGATTTTATGGCGCCAAGTCGAAGAAAAGGTGGCAGCTGCTAGCTGGCAATTGAAGCTCGGCGATCTTGCGTTGGCAAAAATCAAAGTCTTTCCAGCGTGGCCTGAAACTGTATGTCTATAATACATTTGCTTTTGGTTCTGCCTGAATTTGGATTTTGTGTTGCATGTTAGTTTTCTACAATAATTCTTAATCCTCTGATGTTGCAACTAGGATTACAATTACTTTTGTCGTCTAACTGCAGATCTGACTAGGACACTGTACTCTTCCATTCGGAGTTCATGTGCCCACGACCATGTTTGTGGAACTTGAGAATGCCATATGATATCTGCATTTATATGTGTGCGGGTGAAAAAATTCATATCCTTGTATTAGGGTGAATGTTTTGAAATTCGAACAATTTTTCGAGGCCTGTGAAGAAAGTGGCAACATTTTGTCCCATGTTGGTTCTAGATATGATCGTAGACTAAATCAAAAGTAAGATGGGATACACCATCCAATGTCAGGCTGAAATCTCTTAGGCTAATAATTTTCTTTAACATGGTATTGGAGCTTAACTAGTACTTGGACTCATTATTCAGCCCATATGTATGTTTGAGATATCCGTTTGTTCAACATGTGAATCTGGTTTAGACATGAAGGAAGGTACGAAGAAACTGGCAATATATGTGGCCCATATTCGTTATTTTTAAACTTTCTAATGGTAAGACGTTCTGCTACATTCAATGCCATAGAGTCGCGATGGAATCCTATGGAATATGGATGATGTTCATATCATAATCAATTTGGAATGAATGATACGAGTTCTAGTCTCTCTTACACATGCAATGATTGCAAGTGGATAACCAGATAAGCTACAACCATAATGTGGCCAATAATGAGAATAACTTCACCATAGATGTATAGCATTACTATTTCTATTCTAGTGATCATTTCCAATTCTTAGATGTCATTAGGAGAAAATGTATGCAAAAGTGAGAAACCATTTATGCCCTTCAGATTATCTAGAGTTTCAAGGTAATTACCATGTAATCCACATTTTTCTTCAAATGAGCAAATTGTTATCCCAAAACCAAAAGATTAAGCATTAGTTTGACAAATTTATAAATTATTTATAAGTGGGTCTTTTTAATCATACATTTCATATGTCGTAAAAATTATTATTCACTTATCTATTATTTATTGTTATCTCTTTTCATTATTGGAACAATTTTTCAATAATCATTCAAGTTTTTTTTTTCCTCAAATGATTCTTGATTATAATCATAGATTCAGAATTTTCTTGAAGAATCATTATGGTGACAGCTGAAAATTCTAAATCAAGAAAAGGTCAACACATTTGCTATTGCAACAAGCACGTCTCACCAAGCTTAAAAGCAATTCAAAGTAAATACATATATATTGTCTGTTCTGAAAGAATCTCCGTCTATCTTGTCTTCGTAAATTTCTTTCACATCCCTTAAGATTTCAAAACATAGCCTCTTCTTGAGAAAAATTTAAATTGAATCTTGACATCAATTGATACTAAAATTCAACTTAAATTTATCATAAAATAGAAGTTCAAAAATACGAAGTTAGCTAGCATTTTGTTACGTTTTTTTAAAATATAGATAGTTAGCTTGCATTTTTCACTATAAGATAAGAAAAATTAGTAAAATAAAGTTGACCAACAAAATTTCAAGGTAATAATGAAATGGTTAGAATACAGGCACGATAAGCTGTAATGACGCGATCCCACGATCTTTTAGCCTTATTTTTCCCAAATTTCAAGTGAGACGCAAAGAAATCTTCTCGCGTAGTCCGTTTCACACTTCAATCCAGAAAATTCAGACCATTACCATTTTTAATGTATATAAATATATACACTACAAAAGTCTATATTAAAAACCTAGTCTATACAAACGGAACGGTTAACATTCAATTTGGGGATTTTGAGCTGAAAAGATATGGGTGGACGTCCTTCTGTCCATCAAAAATCAATCCACGATATCACTGTTAAGGTTTAGCTTAATCTCGCTTTTATCTTTTGTGCGTGTAATTATGCGTATCTACTGTGAATCGGTTTTGTGGAAATTCTCAGGTATTTGTGTGAAAATGTTGTGCAGGATGCTAAAGGTAAAGATGCCGATTTGAGTATATACAAAGGGAAAGTTCTGCTCGTTGTCAATGTTGCTTCCAAATGGTTCTTATTCTTCTTCCTCTTTTTACTTGATGATTTTCGTTTAGTGTTTGCTTTCGATCAGTGAAATTTTCCTTTTTGTTGTTGCTGGATTTGATGGGGGTTCTGACTTCTGATTGTTTAAGTATTTGATTGTCTAAACCAGCGGATACACGAATTTGAACTACACCCAGTTGACAGAACTTTACAGCAAGTATAAGGATAAGGGTCAGTCCCTTTTCTCTATATTGCTTTTATCTTTAGATTTATTTCAGCTATTTATATGCAAGACCCATAAATAATTTTACTGTTATCTGTGATTATTTTAATGTTTTGATGCTGTAATATAAGAAGTCTCATGATAATATCTCCCCTGATCTGACAAATTGGCTAATTTCAAGCATAAAATTATGTAAAATGGTCATAGTTTGCATTTGATTCCACCACCCCAAAGTTTCTTTTATGGAAAAGATGTATAATATGATTTTAGTATCAGGTTTCGAGATCTTGGCATTCCCTTGCAATCAATTCTTGTATCAGGAACCTGGGTCAAGTGAGGATGCAGAACAGTTTGCTTGTACAAGATTTAAGGCTGAATATCCCATCTTTCAAAAGGTAAATGGTGTCACATCAAGTTCTGTTTGAATTTTTCTTTTGATGCTTCTAGCAGAAAGTATTTGCTGTCTGGCATGCTTCAATTGTGTTATTTAGTTATTGTCTTTCTTTTATTGGAAGTTGGTAGAAGGGATGTGTAGTTTCTGTTGAGTGGTCTGTTATAAGCTTCAATTATGCTTTTTGGTCCTTGCCCTTGTTTTTTGGTAGTTGGTAGAAGGGATGCGTAATTCCATGGATTAACTGCTGTACATAATTACTGAAAAATGCAATTTATTGCCTTATGTTAGAATATAATCCTATTCAAATGTACTTCATCTTGGAAGTTTAAGGAAACCAAGTATATACAACTACCTCAATCTGCAATAATTTTGATTATTCCTCTCTTCATTATCATTTTTTTTGGGATTATCTCTCTTATAAGTGAGTTCTTTGTTCAGATATACTCCAGAAATTCACAAACCATTTAAGGCATCGTACCCTTAATTTATCCACCCAACTTTTCCTTTGGTCAAGATGGTGGTGTTGCAGGTTGGTATGTGATTTTTGAGGCTGGTTTGAATTGTTGGAAACTATTGTTTCCCCTTGAAGACGCTATTTACCAATAAGCCCCTGTTTGGTTTTGCAAAAATTTAAAATTTTAGTAGATTTTGATAAAAATGTGTAGTTGAAAAGGTGACAAAAGTTGTGTCCCATGAGATATGTGGTTGAAAATGAGTTTAAAAATAATAATAATTTGAGTTTTAAGAAATGGAGGCTAGGCCAAGGGCTAAGAATAGAAAAACTACCTTTCTAAATGGAAGAAGTCGAAGGGGTTTTCGAGGGGGCATTTTCTTTTGCTTGATAGAAAGCATCTCTCTTTTATCGTTTCTGGCCAAACTCAACAAAAAATTAGAATAAAAAAGGTTTTCTTGCCGTGCGAGTAGCATTAGAGACATCTTTATCCGAGGAGGCTTTGTCGTCCGATTCCTTAGATAAAGATGTTATGATCGATATGTATTGAGTATGATCATTAATTTTTGAGCGAGAGGAGCATTGTTTTGAGGGAGAGAAAGCGTGGTTTTTTGTTAGACAGAAGTCGTTGGCCCGCATTCTCCTTCTCCTTCTCATGTACAAATCTACCCATAGCATAGTTTGATCGATCACCATATTTCTTACCATTAAGTAGGTTTTTCCTTTGCATTCATAAAAAATTGAAATCCAAGAAGCTTTACCTGGAAGAAAGAACAAAAACTGATTCATCTAAATTTGATATTATTAGATACTTTTAGCCGATACCATGTAGCAGACAAAAAATTATATTCATTTTTAATGATATTATGCATGAGGAAATGCCCCTTTAGTGGTCATACCTTACCATTATCAAATTTTTTTTTTTTTTTTTTAAAAGCTTTTGAAGATCATAGGAAATCATAGTTTCATAGTTGTGTGATATGAATTTGTTCTAGATAACATTGCTTTGCATCAATGTGTGAGATATTTTGTTGTCCCTACAATTGTTTATTCATAAATTTACTGTCAATTTCTACTGGTAGGTAAAAGTGAATGGTAAAGATTCTGCACCAGTCTACAAGTTCCTCAAGGCAAGTAAAGGTGGTTTCCTTGGTTCTAGCATCAAATGGAACTTCACAAAGTTTCTAGTCGACAAGGATGGGCAAGTAATTAGACGTTATGGTACATCTACCCCACCATTGGCAATTGAGGTCTCTCTCTCTCTCTCTCTCTCACTCACACAATATGTGTTTGTTTGTATTCTTGGAGTCCTTGAAATCATTTTTCAAATGCTACTCTTTTGCATTTTCTACTGCAGGCGGATATCCAAAAAGCGTTGGGAGAGGTTTGACGGACTGATATTTGGTTTGGAAGTTACAAACTGATGACTTTTGTATCCATGGAACAGGACCAGCTGTTGATATGATATGCTTAATGGTTTATATATTGTGCTGCTTGACTGTTTGGATGTTTCACTGGAACGATTTTTGTATCCGTAGAACAGGACCAGCTGTTGATATGATATGCTTAATGGTTTATATATTGTGCTGTTTGAACTGTTTGGACGTTTCACTGGAATGATTTTTGTTACTACGTTGATGTGAATATGGTTCATCATGGTTGTATATTTTTGTCATGTGAATTAGCATTGTTCCTCTGAAGAATCCATTTTTTCCTCTCAATTTCCGTTAGCAATTTATGTAGATATATTGCTGTCCATTTGATAAATGTTCGCCAAAAAAGACCTTTTTATTGCTTTCTAGTTCATGATACTTCTTCAGTTCTGCCTCTCTCCCAATTTCTGCTTCGACTACTCAATTATTTGCAGACCTGACCCCACATTTTTCTTGACGTTTCTCTTGAGAAATTTTGAAGTCTGACATCAGATTTCTTGCGCTTTCTTACCAGAGAACGAGTTTGTTGTGGTGGTGATTTTCTTACTATCTACAATTGTACTATGTGACATTTTATGTAGCAGTGAATCGAATAAAATGAAAAATATAATTCATGTAGATTTTAAATGTCTTCGCTAGTTGAACTGCGTTCGGTAGGTACAATTGTGGGTTCGTATATTATGTTGCTGATATCTTACAAGATTTGATTATCTGTATTTTGTGATCAGAGCCGCCCGCTTGTGACTTGCCACACATTATGTTACTCCAAATGGGCTAAACGTCGTTTTCAGATAAGATTAGGAATCGAACATAAGACACAGGTGAGCACGTGGGAATGGGCCCTGATATTGGACTCTACGTGGTACGGGCACCGAAGCCATGACACGACACAGATGTCATAGTATTAGACTATCTAATCAAGCGAGCTGCAGTGTCAAGGAGGGTGTCTCCCTGACAGAGCACACATCGGGAGAGGGAAGCATTTTTTTGTCATTTTTTATTTCATGGGGGTCCCACGTCCATCTCCACTCATGCGAGGTTATGTCAACTAGGTGGACAAATCAATTTGAGCAAACTAGCTTAATTCCTATCTAATCTACAATGAAGTTTACAGTACTAAAGACTCGCTGATAGAACTTCGAAAAGTCAAAAGGTAATTTTAGAAATTGAGTGACTTTTGGATTTGATAATTCTTTGAAGTGTTTTTTTTTTTTCCTAAGTTTGAAGAGCTTTTAGAGGATCTTAGACAAATGTGACTTCTTCCGATATTTCTTGCACAAAAAGAAAAGGCAAAAACCTACCAAATGGGTCATAAGTTGACATATGCCTTGTCTTGAATATTGTCTTAATATAATTGGTATGACAAACAAATCACAAATCCCTTCAGACCACTGAGGTGAGCATTGGACCTTAAATTTCAGGGTTCCGTGGGATTAGTTGAGGTGCGCGTAAGCTGACCCGAACATCCACGGTTATCAAAAAAAAAAAAAAAGAAGATTTAAACACAATTTGTATAGATAGATGAAATATAATAAAATGATAAAAGAAAAACACGCGATACTTATATTCTTAATTTTCTCCGATCCTATTCAATTTGTGGGGGTGGGGTGAGGTGGCTTGGGGGCACTAACAACCCTCCAATGTGAGAAGTTGATAACAAGTCCTTATCTAGTAGGTAGGCAAGGGAACAATCAGCCATTTCTGCATTCACTGCATATTCCTATCTACGTAGCGTGACTCCTTCCCTCGCAAAAACCAGAAAAGCTTCAGAATTCTTCATTCCACAGCATAAAATTTCAAGTTTTGATAAACTCAATAACACATTACAACTGCAGCATGACACCGAGTTCGATTTTCTCTCCGAGAAGTTCAAAACTCTGATCAAAACAGCATTGTTCGAAACATATCGGGGAGCATAGGGCACGCCTTTATATCATATGGAGATGTACAGTTCTGCTTCTCTGCTCCCATGATTGATCCTGGAACACAGCCCTGAACCTGTTTTAGTACATAATACTAGATAACACTGCACGTACAGATGGGATTTTGACATGGCCACTATGCTACGCATATATGAAAGAGGTTTGCTTCAGGTAATCTGAAAGTTAGACATTCATACAGTTAAACTGGTACGGCTGAGACAATAGTAAGAATTTTTTTAATGTTTTTGAGTAAAAGCAAACATTTTTGCGGTGATTTTTTTTTCGCTCTCTAGTTTTGCAGTTTTTAAGGAAAAGAAAATCGGAAATGGCCCTCTGGAATAAAGATCATGAATATAAGACCATCAAAATAGACCGATAACAGTTACAGGGCTTGCCCAGAGTTTTTTCCTTCAACGGGAGGCCAGCCAAGCCTATTATATTCCACCCATGTCCAAACACGAGTATAGAAATAGTGGAGGAAAAACGAGATTGGTTATTTGGCACCCGACAACTTTCTTTCATTAGAGAAAGAGGAAGCTAGAATTGTATGTATATGCGTATGTATATTGGGTTGCAAAAGAGCGTTCTTCGAATGGAATGCTTAGCACAAGGATACATTATTGCCACAACATCTTGAGAGACATACAATGACAAGAAATTACAGCTGATAGCTCATCAAATTAAGGTAAATACATTGGAAATCTATATTATAGTGCCTAGCTATACAGGATTCACAAAAACCATCTATCCTAGCTAAAACATGTTTATCTCAATTGCCTTACGACATTGTGGACATTAAATCGAACTTCTTTGGTATTGATCCTTGCCAATTTTGGCCTCCCTGTAAAAATTCCAAAAATACATGCAAGATAAGACACGAGTAAGCCAATGTTTGATACCCATTCTATTTCTCATTTTTTTTCTCTTTTTTCATTTCAACGACACATTCTATCAATAAAATGAAATTACACATAAACCCAAAAATTTTCCTTACTTTTTAACCACACATTCTTCCATTAATCACTGTTCTAGAATTTATTTTTTCCACAAAATGGGTGTCAAACACAAGCTAAATCCTACCACGGATATCGCATCTTTTTCATTAGAATTCTAGAACTGCAAGTAAAATGCAACTAGAGAATATCTTCATTCCCGGGATTTCTAAACCTAGATATGACCCTACTGAGCACGTCCAAAATCCTGTTGTCTTTCTTTCATGATGAGCTGTTACTATTTCAGAGGCTAGTAGAGAGGTCTATTGCATTCGTCTATAGTAGTTCTTCTACAATGTAAAAGATATCTAGATTAACTAATAGCAAATCGTTTTCATATGAATTAATATAGGAGTAAAGTCCAGTGATGTATAACCACATAGTTCTCTTAGGGGCCATGAACTCTGTTTTTGATAACCTCATAGTCAACTATAGATCAACAGTACAAAGCTTTCGTTTTACTGGATGTTTTACTCTGATGAAAGTGTATTTATACGCAAGCTCAAAATGGTCCTAGTGTATTTCAGAAAATGTTCTGAAAATATTAAGTTAATAGATAATCATAATTCACTAAATATTGAGCAAGCTTTTTTCTTGTAATTAATGTATACCAAGCTTATTAACCAGCAACTTCTAGATTGCCTAAGGATAGAATTGTATTTTACCTTTTACTACTACTATTTTCGTATTTTTCCCTTTTATCCAAAGAGCAAAAGCACCATGTAACCTTGAACCTAGGAAAAGTCATTTCTCTCATAACCCATTATTTAACGTGTAGATTTCTCATCAAGACAACATTATACATTCTATTCTTTTGCAATGTTCGCGGTTAACAAGAGATGCCGGAAGTCGAATTCTATAGAGGGAATGTTGAAAAACTTACTGATGATGGCTTTTGACTAGTCAGCCTACGGTTAGAAGGTGCTCGAGCAACAGAGGAAGCAGCAGCAGTAGCAGCCACACGTATTCTACAATAATCACAATGCCACACATCATCAACGAAGTTAGTAAGAATAATAAACGAATCAGGTAGAGCGGGTGCAAATATATTTAGGAAGTTGCTTGCTCTTAACACCTTTTATGTACATCAACATATACGTCTGTCTCGTCAACAATTTCCTCCTGCATCCACGGATAGCAATTGGTCAAAGCTTGAAAAAGGGGAGGTCCTCAGATTAGGAGAGCGTATCAACAGCACTTTTGGTTAAATCTTAAAAGAGTTTGTTCATAAGTAAATTTGTAAGTTTATCTGAAAATAAGTTAGTTATTTTAAGAAGCAACTCTTTTTTTTACTCAAAAAGGGATGACAATATAACTATCCAATCATGTTTGAAAATAAAAAATAACTATTACTTGCTGACAAGCTTAGCCAAACATGTTCTAAGTAATTACAACAAACAATTTATGGGCAAAACTGGATGCAACATCAATCAGTTGTAAAATAACGTGAAACACGAAAGGTTACTTGAAGAAGTTCTTCGAATACATCTTCCAAAGTGATAATGCCAATGACTTCGCCATCTTCAATATCCTTCGACAGATCCTTGTCTTGCAAGGCATCTTCTGACGCCTTCTCAATGTTGATCACAACACTATTTAATTTACCATCATGCTCGTTCAGTAATGGAATAGTCAATTGTGAATGGCCATTGGGAAAATTGTTTTCTCCATTCTTCATGGCATCAACAGAAATATGCCTTTTCAATTGTGAATGGCCATTGGGAAAATTGTTTTCTCCATTCTTCATGGCATCAACAGAAATATGCCTTTTCTCTTTCTCTCGCACTTTCACAACAGCAGCCATGTGACTGTTCCCTTTCTGAAACTCGTTGAGAATATCATACAATGGCATATTTGCTGGTACCCTAAGTAAAAAGAATAAAAATATGTAACGGGATAAAGGAAAAAGGAAAGGAATAAAAAGAGAACATTTTAAATGGGCAAAACCAACCTAGGGATTTTTCGGATTGAAACAGCGCTGACCGGGGTCTCTGTTTCTGCCCGTACAGTAAGAAGACTCTTTACCTATTTCCAAAAGAAGCAGAAAGTTATTACAGAACAATCAAATAATCAGTTACTAAAAACAGATAAATGGAAGATGATCGATAATTTCTGGAATTATACACAGACCAACAGAAGTCCAATAATGTTCTTTGGACTTCCTGAATATACAGGAATGCGACTATGTCCTCGAGCAAGGATTTTTCCAATTGCTTCCCTGCATTGTAGGATGTGTATTAGAAAAGATTTTTACAGATCTCCGATAATTTAATTTCTTCTAATGCATGAGGAAGGTATGCTGACCTAAGCAGAGAATGAAATAAATGGCTTCTTAACAGTAATTCTCACAGCATAAATATAACTTAGGAAACATGGAAACCAATGCAGCATAAAACTCACCAGTCCAATTTTGAATTGACATCTAGTGAGAAAGTAGACTCAATAGGGGTCATAGCCTCCTCTGCAGTCTGCACACATTTGGAACAATCACATTCTGTTTCCATTTTATTGTGCAAAGATACTAGGGACAACAATTTATGTGTAAAGCTAAAAATCAAGATGTATAGCAGTGTAGAATTACTGGATTATTGATTTTGAAACCAATTTCATAGAGGGAAGGTAATGAAAGCAAGTATTTCCATATAACTTCCTTACCAAGGGTACATAGTGGCATTAATGGGTAATGTTAGTGGTACATCACTACTAACATAAGGGTCTACATAA